ATACCTCATGCATTACATAATTTTGTCCTCAAGGTTTATCCCTCTTTGACATGTTTTTTTGTGGATGCAGATCGGTAGCCTGTCTTTACGTTCATGGCTCAAGGCTGGGCTGCCGACAGGATCGTCAATGATACCCAGAGTACATGCGCCTCAAGGCCACCGAGGAGAAGAACACGACAAGACAAGGTTGAGTGTCTTTATTGTATATTATATGATACAGTATTATATGCTGACAGAGCGAGAGCCTTCGCATGGAGCAGGGCAAACGCGGCCAGTGAATTCCGGGAAGTTGTTGGTGGACATGAGGCGCTTGAAAGCATCATACCACGCGCCCTTGCGCACCAAGTCATTCCATTCCTCAGTTCGGATCTCTGTCCCCCTCTCTGGCCCCCGTTGGTCGAAGCGCTGAGCCGATCAAAAACCTCCGGTTGAATGCGAGACAAGCGTGTGTTTTTGGCATCTCTCGGGACACCCGTCTCACTTCCTTCCAAGCGAAGGTACCGGAATCAGATTGCCCAAGGGGCACCCCGATTTATCGGTCACGCTTTGGTGACAGAACGGGGTCCCGCAGTCCATGCATCTGGACGCCTGGGTCTGGACAGCCACCTGCAAAAAGAGTTTCGGCAGCTCGCAACGGAGCTTGCAGAGCTCATTCACTTTGGACAATCCAATGGGACACCCAAAATGAACTAGCAAACTACTGTAGGCCATAGTCAGAACAATTCAAGCTATCTGGGCGTCTTCAATTTGAACGCTTTAGGCTTTAGGACACGTTTCTGTCGATGACCAGCTACGAGTCCCTTTTCACAGGTTTAGTTTCGTGGATCTGCGATTTCTGGTACCAAATTATGAAGAAAAGCGAAAGGGGCCACCCACTGCACTAAGCCACCGTCTGGCAAGTCCTTTTATTCAAAGCGCTGGGGTAATTGGTTGTGGAGATTTACAAACAAACCCACATTTTTTACGTGTGTGTCTCGAAGTGAACTGAACACCCATCAAAAGACTGGTTGGCACCCTCATGCTGAGGTGCACAGATTGCTGTTCAGTCTTTGCAACCCCTGCCTCATCTTTCTTTGCCAAAATCTCTTGGAAATCCGCAACGCGCTCTGCCACTCCTGGCACAAGAGGACTTGGTGACGTGGAAATGGGGTCAGTCTACTTGTACAGTCCTTGTCTTTGTCTTTTCCGACACGGGAATAACTGCCAGTCATCCCAACGGTCCAAGGATTGGCCTCTCTTCGGCAGATCCCCACGATCAACTTCCAAGAAGCCTCGACCAGCAAATCACCCCACTGCAAAGACCTTCCTATTCAAGAAAAACAACTTGTTCCGCACAAGTAATACCAACTCTGAACAGTTTCTGAACCACTGAGTGTGCAAGAAAACGGCCTCGGTTGGAGCTTGCGACAAGCTTGGCATCCTCAATCCTTAGATTAGATAAATCATAAATCCAATGAAGCCAACATCATTTTGCTCCTCTACTCAAGATATCACAAACTCCTCAATCCGTTCATGTTTGTCATTGTGTCACCTTCATAACAAGTGATGCAGGTTGTTTCACGCACGGAGCTTTCGGCAAAGGATCTTCTGCGGGCGATTTCCCTTGGTCGTCTTCTGGAAGATGGCCATGTCCTCCATATCAAGACCTCAGCAAAGCTGGTGCCACCAGTTGGGTGGCTGAGGCAACAACCATCTGTAGGCCAAGCCGTGGATTCCCAGGGTCACCAAACTAGGATCAGCTGGATCAGCTAATTGCAATGTTCTGACTGGGGCAACTTGCTGTTCAGAAACAACTCAGTTGCTTTTTGCCCAAGATGCTCTTGGGCTCTCCATCACCCTCACCCATGGTGGAGCTCTTTCTCACCTGTTACGGGACAGGCATACGAAAGACATCTTACTCCGTGAGAGCTCTGCAAGCCCAGACTAAGGCGAGTATCGCTCCCCGAAATCGCGATGAAGGAAAGACTTGCACCGCAACCAACACACCTGGCCTTGGGGTGCTTTCGGATCCGCTGCTTGACCAGAGGATCGTTAATGACTTCTTGGGAAGGAAGGTACTCGCGCATGGAGCCTGCAATCGCCCAAGGTTTTTGGTCATGTTTCTGGCACGCACCAAATCACGCGCTTCCATTTCAACAGTGCTTTGCATCCAGGTCGCCTATGGGCGAGTGCTCACCGCGTTCCAGAGCCGACTTCACTGCCGCTTTGAAGTCCTGGCAGCAAATGTGCGCAGTGCGCATTACGCCTTCCGGGCGCGGTGCGGTGCCGTGGGTCCTTGGGGAAGACCCGCACGAAGTCGGTGGCACTGGCCGGCCACTTCTCCAAAATGGCCGTGGCCACCTTACCTTGGAAGTTCTGAGCCGAGCCGGGACAACTCGATTCGGGTGGAGTGTGATGGCAGTGAAGAAGGAGAAGTGGCTTAACCAAAAAAGCAATCCGGAAAGTTGAAGTTAGGAAGACAGGAAGGATGAGCACTTGCTTGCCTTGCAGCTGTGTTGCTGTGGGTCCAATTCTTGTGTGCCTCCAAGAGCGACAACAGGTCCTTGCACGAAATCTCCAAATCTAGATATGTTTCATGCTTTCCGAAATAGCAACAACTTGCATCATCCTCGGAGACTTCACTGGCATGGATTCTCCACAAGCCAGTTCACAAGGAGACGTCTCACTGGTTCTTATCCAGCACCCAAAAAACTGGAACTCCGCCATCCTTGTCCATCCTTCCACTTTGAATTGATTGACCGGTCCTTCTCCTCGCTCTCGTAAACATCCAAGGAGCTGCCAGGCTGCACGCGGCCCACCTCCAAGTCCTCTGACCCCGCCACGCCACGGCGCCACGGCCACGCGCATCGTCGTCTGAGACTCGATGGGACCCAACTCCCCGAGGAAACTCGCTACTACTGGCGATGCCCTTGTTACTAGTACTAAGTCACCTTGCTACTAGTAGCTTCTTGCTACTAGTAGCAAAGCCCTTGTTACTAGCTATATAGTATATAGTAATGCCCTTGAAGCTATATAGTAGCGATGCACTTGTTATTAAGTAGGGAGGCCGTGCTTCTTTCATTTTCGATGAAACTCATGAAATGACGGGCATTCCACACGCTTCACAGAAACCTCTGCAGGTCATTTGGGATGATTTAGGATGGAACCCTCGAAAAACACACGAAGAAGTTATCAGACCAGCCTGGAGGAGCACAAAACATCTTATGTAGCCATTTTGCGCAAAGCGATCTTCAGCTCAACCCTTGCGGAAAATGCAAAAACAATGCAAATAAGAGAAGGTGTTCGTCGCTTCCACACTTTCCAAGCCACACGCCACCCAACCGCTCGACCCATGCCCACTCGCACAGAAAGCACAATCCACTCTGGCAAAACTCTCCTGTGGCAAGACCCTCTTCTCGAAGGTCTTCGTCGGATCATAGATCCAGGCAATTCCGCCGCTCATGCCTGACCAGCCAAAATGAGCTGACTTACCAAAACATTCTACCGCGCCGATTGCAAGGATAACTTCCATTATGAGATCCAAAGAAGAAGAGAATTCCGAATTCCTTCTTTGAGAGGGTTCTGGCATCGTTACAGCGTCCCATGAAAAAAAGTACCTGGGCTTCTAAGCCGCCCCTCCGTTCTCTGCTCCTCTCCTGCTCCGAAGTTGTCTCCAACACCTCCGAGCACCATGACTCGACCACCTGGCAGGGCCGTGGCAACGGTGGAGGCCTATGCTTGGGATGCTCGGACGCGAACCTGTCATGTATTCGCAGCAGTGGTCGCCAGCACCCTCCACAACGGCCCACACGCCGGAGTTTCGCACCTGCAGAGGTTGAACACAGGAGGTCTCAGAGCAAGTGGCGTCTAGCGATTTAGTTCAGCCTGCTGATCATCTCGGCAAACAAAGTGCATACAGCACCACTCAATCAAACTGTTGCCTTGCGGTATTATCCCTTTCGATAAGCTCGCCCACAAAGAATAGATACACCAGCGCCCAGAAACTCGCCACACAAATGTCAACATGAGAACGCATTTGGGTCTCCTGAACACCCTTGTTTCACCCACCAACCAAGCCAAAGAACGTTCCAAGCGAACCAACAAAAGCCTGTCAAAGTTCCACACGGCTCTGCACTACTCTTTACTCTTGAGATCTCTTGCCGATCGTGCTACCCTTGAGCCACGCACCAAACCCCGGCCCCGGCGCCGCAAAGCGCTCCGCTGCGATGCCGTTCACAAAGGCCACACCCGCGGTCGCTCCATAGAGTGCCTTGGTACATCCACCGGTAGCAACGGAGTCCCATGGCCGGCCTGTTGAGCGGTCTTAGCGGAGTCGATAAGGATGGAAAGCTGAGTTTCTCATCTTCATTTTGGGGGGTTACTATATAATAGCAATGGCCTCCAGCCCAGAAGCGATCCAACCTAATAAATAGCAATGGCCTCTAAGGATGGAGAGGACCGGGCACCTTTTGGGAAAGAGGCTTCAAAGTCGTGAGGCAAACACGTGAAAAAAACGCACGAACACGCGGGTGAGCCCAAACGAATAGTTCCAGATCTCTGGGGCGAGGCACGGTGTTGCCGATGATAATGTTCTTCGCAGCCTCAAAAGTGGCCTGATGAGGAGGTCGTGCTTCATCGGATCTAAAAAGCTAAAGGAAAGCAATCAAAAGCAATCCATGGGTTTGCAAAGGATGTCACTCGCCCGCGCCTTGCGCGGTGGGTACACCACAAGTGCACCGCCGCTGAGGCCCTTGCCAAAGTAGTCCTGCCGAGCAAGCGAAATGGTGAGGGCCAGAAAACATGAGGTATGCAACACACCAAACCCATCCAAAACAGCTTTCTACAGCTTTCAGACATCAAACCACAATGGAAGCCGTCGATGTGCGTTGGTACCAACCAACCTGGATCGACTCTCGACGACAGACTCCTGGGAATCGCCCTCCAGCTCCAGCAAGACACCTTTCACTGCAAAGGCACCGAAGGACTGGCCGGAAGTTCCAGAGAGCTTCCTCAGAGCATTTCAATCGCCAAGCGACTCTTTGTGAATGCGGAAAACCCATGGATGTCGCAGAAGTAGATGAATCTGTGAATCTCAAATACTCCAATATTGAGAAGAAAAACAAAAAACTCGTGCTTTTTGTGGAGTACCAGCAGAAGCTGTGGCAGATTCACATCTGCTTGGATATTGGCAAGCTCATTTAGCCAAGTCTCAAGTGGCAGGTTCCTGGAGGCAAGCTTGATCCCCATCGCATGAAGATCCTTAGCTTGGCACCGGCTTAGTTTTTGAAGAAAACCTCCAATCCTTGACATGGCAAACTGAATAGACATGACATGGAAATTATCCGTCGAGTGACTCATGAGAAAGAAGCGTTCCGACTGTGCGATCGGCGTTGTTCAACTGGTTGTTGACGGCGTACGAGCGCTCACCATAGCGGAAGGTCATCTTGCACTCCTGCGAGATCCAAGGAGCGAAGACATCAACCTTCATCAATCAAATCTGTCAAAAGTTAAGCTGTTTGTACCGACCTTCTTGATATGTATATATATATATATAGTTAAATATATATATATATATACATCCTAAATGATGGCCCTATTACAGTACAAGCATATGTGCCAAAAGAGCTGATGAATCGCTTGAAGCTTCCGTTCTTGGAATCATTTGGTCCTCAACCAGAGTTCTGTCGATCATCCTCTGGAGAACCATGAAGTGTTCTTGCGTGTAGAGTTTGCGATTCTCCACTTTGCCTCACTAAAAGAAACTTGGCAAAGTCAGCACCATCAAAACAAACATGGAAACTGCATCTTTCTTGTCTCAAGCCCTGCTTGAGCCGCATGGATAGCGCGCGCATGAACCCCCTCTAGAAACGTGAAGCTGCCTTCCACCAATGATTCACGCAGCACGATCCGGTCAACCGAGTGACCCATCTTTCCGGCATCTGGAAGCTGGTGTGCAGGGGCCAAAACAGCCTCCAGCTGTAGGGGCCCTCGCACGGAAGGATCTTGCCTCAAGACCTCAAAACGGAAACGAACGCAGTAAACGCACCGGCATTTCCTTTGGTGGGGAGCTCTTTGGTGGCCTTCCTTGTCTTCTATGGTTTCGCTGTAGCTTCCTGCTGTTCATATTGTGGTTTCTTGGTGTTTTTTTCGATGATTCTACATTAAAACCACTCCCGGTCACGCTGGCTGAGGGTGCTTCCCTGCAAGTTGTCTCCCTTCGACTGGCTCAGCCCTTCCTCCTGCTCACATCGCAAGCGGCCTCGGCATGACCAATGAGCTCATCCATGTTGCGGAAGCCCATCTTTGCCATCAGCACACGCACCTGGGGCGGGGGGTCTGACTTTCAAGATCAGCTGTTGGAGGTAACACCGGTGCAAGAAAAAGCGAATCGAGTGACCAAATCCCTTTCATTTGTTTAATGCTTCTAATAATCTTCTAATGGTTGGATTCTCTGCTTGCCAATAATCAGTTGTGTCAAAAGAAGACTCTCATGGGCAGCCTGTCAAGACCTTTTGACCCACAACGGCATGATCCCGCATGCCTCCTCAGCGACCAACAAGAGGTAATTCACGACGTGCTCTGGAAGACCTTCAAACTTCTTCCGCAGCACGGGATCTTGCGTGGCAATGCCCACAGGGCATGTGTTGAGGTGGCATTTCCTCAGGGGAGAGATGAGATCGGAGATGGGCAGAAATGAAGAAACTGTCAAACCAATTCCACAATATCCATGCTTGGGATAGAAATCGTAAACATGCAGAATCACCACAAACACCATAGACAACAACATCAAATGCACACCGTGCACACCCTTCCTCATCATAATGCATCCCATAGCGATCAGCGGTGCAGTGGCAAAGCCGAAACGTTCTGCTCCCAACAACGCAGCGATGACCACGTCACGGCCAGTACGCAGCTGACCATCCGTCTCGAGGGTCACGCGACCACGGAGGCCGTTGAGCACCAGGGTCTGGTGGGTTTCAGCCAAGCCAATCTCCCAAGGAGCGCCTCATGGGGAGGTCATGTGAGGACTCAGTGGGCACATTTGAAAAGTATATAGAAATATTACATATCATGACATCAATGGGAAACAAACCAAAACAAACAAAGAAAGGTCAAGCCACTTGGAACAGAAGGGGTCATTTCGTCTGACATGAAGAATCCGGAACTAGCATCGAACACTCGACCCGTCTTGGCAACCTGTTTCAAATACCCAGTCATACAGCCCACCTGCGTGCTTGATGCCAGTCCACTTGGATGCACCAGTACCACCATCACAGCCACTGATCAAGATGTGATCCGCCTTACATTTGGCCACTCCAGTGGCCACCACACCTACACCAATCTCACTCACCAGCTTCACGCTCACGCCAGCGTCCGGGTTGGCATTCTTCAAATCGAAAATCAGCTGTGCCAAGTCTTCGATAGAGTAAATGTCGTGGTGGGGCGGAGGGCTGATCAAGCCAACGCCCGGTGTGGAGTTGCGAGTCTTGGCGATGCCTCCCTGCACCTTCTTCCCGGGCAGCTCACCTGGCGAGCTCAATGGGCAATCCCAAGATCTTCCAGTTCTTGAAAAAGTCTGAATGGTTTGAAAAGCTCCTAAACCTGTTTTTCTGATACTCTAAAGTGTCTAAAGCATGCAAATCTTCAAGGAACTCCCAACACATCCTGATGCCCCACCTCCTTCTCCAGGTTTGGCTCCTTGGGCCATCTTGATCTGCAGTTCCAAGCCACTGGACAAGTACTCCATGGTCACTCCAAAACGCCCAGAGGCCACCTGCTTGATGGCAGACTTCAAGGAGTCTCCGTTCGGCAACGGCTCATACCTCGCAACAGCTCCTTTCCGGTGATTCACGAGTTCGGTGTGCTTTTTCAGCGTTTCAAAAGAAAGCATTCTTTAGTCTCAGAAATCCTTGGTTCCCCCACAAGACCTTGGTTGGACTTTTAAGTTTTCCATGTCCATCTTACTTTCTGAATGACCGACATTGGTCCTTTGGCCATTCCATCTCCAATCGCGCACGCACGCACGCGGCGCAGGCACACAGGTTGCAGGCCAAGAGGCCGGGCCGGATCCTCACCACCTTCTCCGGTGTTGGAGAAGCCACCCAGTCGGTTCAAGGCGATGGCCAAGGTGCTGTGTGCCTGGCAACTGCCCCGGGAAAGTACGACGGGTCAGCGCCTGGCCGACGCTTGGGCTTTTTGGGGGTGTTCGGTCTTAGAACCCGGTGGTGTCCTCAAGTTGATTCTTGAGAACTCTGTGTGTAGTCCATTCTGATTTTTGTGGGAGATTTCTTGATCACTCCTGCCTCCATGGAGATAGATCCATAGGACATGGCACCTGACTGACGAGATCGATCTCTCCAGCTCAAAGGTGGCCCAAAGTGCAAGAAAGAAGATCGATCTCGAGACGCTATTCCGAAGATCACTTTCCTACCAAGTTTGTGGCATCATATATGTCACTACATCAAGGGGATTCACTTTTCCATTGAAGTGGGTGTCGCTACAGGCAAACACGCTGCCGTGCCTGTTCTGAAGCGCTTCACAATCTCGCTGGCAGGTTCCACTGCATCGAGAGGCAATGCAGCACGTCCGTATTGCCTGCAGGTACAGTTCGCAAAAGCAGGGCTAGCTGCTAGCTCTGCACTAGTGCACTCAGAGGCTCCCTTTCAGATAAATCTTGGTGGGAAGAACCAAATTTCTTCAAAGTGGCTTGTGCTTCTTCCGGTCTCGTGAGGTCTATAAACAGCAGTGGCTCTTCAGGAATTTTAAGCTCTATTCTGCTTCAGAGACGTGGCTCGAGTCCACGGCTCTCGCGCTATTCTGCAGACACCAAACCAGAAAGCGCCGAAAGCGTCCTCGGCGGCTTGAAGTCCAGCTGTCCTCGGATGGACGAGGCCTTCACCTCAGCGAGATCCATGCAGAGCCATGGTTCGCCAACGGACGGTCGAACGGAAGCAGTGGTGGGCCGCAGCCCCACGGCATGCCACGCCTCACCCATACGCGTGTTTTTCATGAAGCCCGTGGCCACCACGGTGGCCCTGCCTTCTTACTTAATTGAGAAGTTCGCTACTAGCTAGCTACTTAAGCTACTACACTACACATGGACGCAGGATGGCTCACGCACCAAAACTTCAGGACCCCCGTGCATTTGTGGGCAAAGCCCCATGCCCCACCCATCCCTGAAGCAGCTGGGAGGCCAAATTGTTGTGCAGCGCTGCAAACGATGCATACGCAGCCCTGGAATTCGTCCTTGCTGCCTGCGAACGTCGGTTGTTGGTTTGACAGGTCGATGTGTCCCTGTCGAGCCAACGGGCCAGCGGGCATGAAAAACCTATCACCTGCGTACTTGTGAAGCTCTCAAATGGAGGACCTTCAACAACTTGGTAGGGTCCCTGCCACGAGCAATTCCAGCCTCCTGAAGCTTAGCAATCACCATGGGATCATTCAAATGCTTCTCGGCATCACTTCCTGTCAAAGAATGAGTTTTCTCCGGGCCAACTGCCAACATGGAATTTCCAACAGGCATCATCGACTTGCCTTGACGATAGTGGTATTTGCCCTCATTCGGCAAGCTGGCAAAGAGGCTCTTCACCTTGCCACTGGGGCAACAATGTCCCACATGCCCTTACTATTCTATGATTCTATCAACAAAGTTGCCCTCGAAAAGATGTCGATTTTGCCAAGGAACCGTGAGGCCTCCATCTGGGGAGAAGCCCCGATCGTGCACGCCCAACGACCTCAAGGCAATCTGCTCGAAGCCCAAGCCGCCCAGCTGACTGGCGATGCCAGTGAAGCACATCTCAGCCACCTCCTGCGATGCCCATGGCCGTGGCCGTGCTTCAGCGGCACAGCACCAGAAAAACCTCTCTCTTAAACAAAAATCACCTGAACACAACTCCATTGATTGACTGACTGAGCATTTGGCACGATTTGGCGTGATACGAAGACTTTGATAACTGATCATGCACCAGCTCTCAACTAGCTCAAAGGGTACCAGCCAATGTCAAACTCCGCCTGCTTCGGCCCTGGTCTCTTCAACTTCGGAAGCGAAACCAGGATGGTCTCAGGGACGGGTCCTTGCCGAGGCCAATGGCATCAGCGATCTGTGCACCCTTGTAGCTTCTCAACGTGGAGATGCCCATCTTCGCCATAATCTTCCTGAGATCAACCGCGGCCAGTTGCACAGGCCTTTTTTCAGATCAGTGGTTTCGTTTAGAAAGACCATTTGAAACCAATTATCAAGAAAATGGAATGCTTGCAAAGTGGTTCCACAAAAACATCATTCCAGCTACCAGTGGTGCCCCTTTTGGGGAGCCGCAGCCCAACGCACTGATGCTCGGGCTTCTGTACAAGCGTGTTTTCATTCACCGGTGGAACGTGAGTTGAGGATGAAAAGTATCTTGAACAGTGCAGTCTATTTGTTTCATGCTCCTTCGACAAGATGCAGAAGGCCTTTGCCAACAGCCTTCTGGTACTTGGCAAAGCCGGTCTCTGTGGTCCAGTCTGCTCCAAACCTCAAGCGAGGCGGAAAGACCGCGGTTGACCAAGGAACTCTCTAAGAGTCCTTTACTATTAGCTTCTAGCTACTAGTAGTAATGCCCTTGTTACTAGTAGCGATGCCCTTGCTACTAGTAGAGGATATAAGAACTCTCTGCTGCAGCACAGATGCTTCCCTTCACTTGCAAGCACCCGCAAAGCTTCGTATGCCATGTAAGGGAACACAGCGTCGCAACCGAAGGTTAGCAGCAAGGCCTCAAAAACAGCAGAAAAGAGTTGCTCAAACTGAAGAGAGACTTGCTGTTGATTCTGTTACTTCAAAGGAGACCAAAATGCCTCCGCATTGTTGAGATCTGTACTCCACCCTTCTTTCTTTGCAGGTCAGTGACATGGTGCGCCACCTCATAGGGTTCTCCGCTCTCCACAATGAAGGCCACCTGAATAGAGCAGCCAAAAGGTCAGTTACTGCACTGGAGTAATTAGAGGAATCCAAGAGACATCCAAAAGGAATCAAAGAGGATCAAGAAGGAGAAACGCAACACCATTGAATGGAACCAGGTTTGAGATGAACGCCAATTGTCCTTCAGCTTTCAAAAGCCCTTGGGCCCGCTCAACACTCGTGCCTTGGTGCGGAGCTTGTGCTTTACCAGGGCTTGGTGCACCGCGCCGCAGGAGAGAAGCGACGGCAAAGGCACTTGCTTTTCACCGCTGGCCCTGAGGATCGTTATTTGGCAAAGATGCAAGCATGCACGCAAGTAAGGCCAGGAGCCCCTAGTAGCTTCTTGTTGCTAGTAGTAAGGCCAGGAGCCCCTAGTAGCGTCCTTGCTCCCAAGAGTAAGGCCAGGAGCCCCTAGTAGCTTCTTGTTCCTAGAAAGGCCAGGAGCCCCTAGTAGCTTCTTGTTCCTAGTACGAGTAGTAAGGCCAAAGAGCCCCTAGTAGCGTCCCTGCTCCTAATAGTAAGGCCAGGAGCCCCTAGTAGCTTCTTGTTCCTAGTGGAAAGGCCAAAGAGCCCCTAGTAGCGTCCTTGCTCCTAATAGTAAGGCCAGGAGCCCCTAGTAG